TCAAGCGACATTGTGCTACTATGCAAATTGTGCATAGGGAGCACAAGAGATATGGTTCTTAGTTACCTCTGTATATTGTTACTCTATCCTCTTATGATTACGGTTTAGTTTTAGTTAACTCTCGTTTAAAGAGGGACCTTGTGATAGGTTTCCGTCTAGAACTTTCCGCAGAGTAATAATATAGGTTAGAGAGGTGATTTAAATTCCTTGACATGAGTTAAGGTGAGATATTGTTGAGTTACCTCTGTATATTATTACTCTATCTTGGTATGAGAGTAATAATATAGGTTAGAGAGGTTACTAAGATTCCTTAACGCGAGTTAAGGGGGAGATTGTTGATATTAACTCTGGTTAAGGAGTTAACTGAGGTTAGTTAACCTTGGTTAACCGCATATGTAGCTATTTATAGCTTAGGTGGTTGACTACCTTGGGTATATATACCCTGAGGGTGATAGGAAGAGGATCACTTCAAGCATTCAAGCAGTAAACTCTCTAGTGCTCTTCTCCCCGTGGACGTGACCTTTGAGGGTGAACCACGTTATACTCTCGTGTAACTCGTGTTGGTGTGACTCTGGTGTCGGTGTGACGGTTCTGAGTTTTAACGTTATCATTAACAAACAATCAATTGCTAGATGGAGATAATTTTTCTTTAAGATTGACTTAGCATTTATTTATTAAAAAAAATTGAAAAAATGTCATTATATAAATTGTCTCCTTGATCTACATTATTTCATTGTGTTTCTCATTTGTATCTTTTGATTATTTAAATTTAACACAAATTATGAAGCGTATGACATATTTTAATAATACTGTTCAATCTCAATTAAATTTCACACAAATTTGCGAGTATTTTTTGTATTCTTTGAATTTTTATTTTTATTTTTTAAATATAATAAAAATATACAAACAATCTATAAACCTTGTTCATGTATGTTAATATTTTAATATCATTTACAATCATTTTGTAATATCAATTTGAAAAACTTTAGATCAATATATTAGTATCGTTTTAAATTTGCGCTTTATTATTAACTTAAAAAAAGATAGATTAATATTTATTTGCTATACATATCCATATTTAGTCACCATTTTGTACCAGGACTTATCACAACTTCAAATCATATGGATTCATTCATTATATCTCCATTTTTTATCATATTTTATAAATATCATATCATCATTTTGAATCATTTTTTACAAGTACTTTATCATCAATTTAAGTCATTATATTTTCATTTATAATTTATTAATTTATTACCATATATTTTGATCATTTTGCACATTTACTTTGTAATTATTTCATCTTATAGCTATGATACAAAATAACACAATTTTATTAGCTTATGCACATAACATACATTTGAAAATTCATTCCTCATTTCCAAATGTGAATTTGTGTTAATATCCATGTTTAGATGACATTTTAAATACTTGTATAATTCTTCCAAAGAAAACATCACAAATATGTAATATATGACATTTTGTGGATTGTGCTTGACTTGACTTTGTGTGAATATTCGTGTTTAAAATTAGTGAGATTTGCATGATACTTTTCACATAAAGTCGAGTCAATCTCACTCTATAACTCGGAGATTCCAAGCCAAACCTAGCGGGTACACCATAGCCAGCCTATTGCAAGCTAGCCTAACGCGCAAAGGTTCAACTTGAAGAACTGTTAATTCTTTGACTACGTGCGCCTATACTCTTCTACGGGAATGACATAAACTATGCTCTACCTAAGGTTAACTCAACAAGAGTTGTCTCTAACTCAATGCTAAATATAGATAACACGTAGACACATGACACTATTATCAAAGTTAGAATTCAATCAAATTTTAAAATGGTGTTTGATGAATACTTCAAATATTTATCACAAAGTTATGAAGCAATATTATCCCTATATCGATGGCTATATTTGATTATACATCATTTTTATTTTTATTACATTTCATACCTTAATTTCACTTTATGTGCCATGAAGTCAGATCTCTATGAGTCTTATTTCACCTTGATGTTTCCAAACCTCGTCAAGATTCTAACATTTTATCTTTGTCACAAATATTTGAATATTTGTTTATCTAAGTTATATAAACTACATATCATCATCTTCTATTCAGATGTAGCTATGATGAACACTTGAGTATTTTAATAAAAAACAATATATTCATAATTTGTGTGTTTCATATATCAAGATTTAAGTGTTTTTATTGAGAGCAAGATTTTCAACTTAATGTGCTTAGAAGTTAAACATTTTATTGTGTTAGGTGAACTTTTTTTTGATAATTTGAGTATTTGGTAAGAAAATCCGATTTTTTTCATTTTTTAACATACAACATATAACCAACCTACGTGGAAACACAACAAAATACATTGTGTGATTCATTGATAAATTAATTGTTACATATTTTTATATCATTATATATTTTTTATGAAAGGATGAATTTAATTTTCTCATTAATATAAAACAGAAATAAAATTTGATATATTTAGAATAAATTATTTTGCATATTTCAAATATCAAAATAGAATTTTTAATTCAATCTTTAGTACATAGAAATGAAAAAATAAATATCTATATTTAAAAATATGTTCTAATTTGAAATCTTAGTTTTTATATATAAATTGGTATACAATTTATATTAATAAAATTTTAAAATAAAATATGTAGATATTTATATTACAAATTAATCTCAATAGGTTACCTATGTTACTATATGTGTTGTCAACAATTAATTTCATATAATGTGTTCATTGATTATATGAATTTGTATACAAATGATATATCAACTATTTCCATTTATATTTTTCTAAAAAATATTTATAATATTTAATATATATTTATCTCAAAAAGTGTTATTTAGTAACATTTTAATCAATAACAATGCAATAATAAGTATCACTTGAATATATTTAACAATATTCCAAAAAGTAAAGTTTTAAAATTGTAGAGTTCTAATTCAGAATACTACTTCATGATAGCATTAAAATATCAATAGGTTTGTGTGAAATTTGTATTATTTTAATTATACATTATTATGTAACTAGATTACACTTTTGAGATAGATTTTTTGAGATGTAAGATTTAATGTACTAAAAGCTCGAGATTGTGTAATTTGTATCCTAATTTTTAATGACAGAAAAGTGTTGCACTTGATTGATTTTTTAAACATTTCAAGAAAACATATGTCATGACTATCTAGATATAAAGGTGTCCAAGATTACAGTCTACTCATGAGTATATTGTATAAGATTATATTACTATATATATAGATAATTTTTCACAAAATTACTTGAGGAAATTTGGTATAACACACTTGATATGATATTGTTTGCCTAATCAGTTTTTTTCTCTAAATTTTAGAGAAAAAAAAACTGAGAAGGATAATTAAAAAATTAAATTAAATTAATTTTAGTTTAAAATTATAAAGATGTGTTTCAAACTTAATTCTAAAGCTATGATTTTGTTTGACACTTAATATGTATGATATTTATTTTGTTGATATGGTATTGTAAAAAATATTTGAATGTTTATTAGTTTGAATTCAATGTTATATGTATATATATAATATTAATGATTTTTGCTATGACGAAATCAACTGTAATCTTGTTCAAACTTGGTTACACCAATATTTTCTATTTCACATTAATCAAAATTGTGTAATGAAAAAAATTATATGCAGAACCTTCTGCTAAGTCATTCAAAGAGTTCATTATAAAAAATAAGCAGTAGTGATAATATAAAGAAATCAAAATTTCCTTTAGCTGTATTGAATATCAGGAAATTTGTTGGAATGACAATAGAACAAAAGACACGTGCTAGAGTAGTGAACGCAGTGTGTATAAATCGATGAAAATATAGACATCGCTAGAAGACGAATAAGAGTAGCTCAGAGTGAGAGAACCATTCACTTAAAGGTGGAAGGATTAACTTCCTGGATGCCAGGGACAAATCAGGGGATCTCATAATGATCCAGTGAGTCAAAGCCGTGCATTGTATAGATCATGCGAGAAGGTGGAATCAGTAAGCAAAGAATAGGATACTACAACTTCGGTCACTAAAATAGACTCTGGATAGGTACTTGATTTATCTTCCCAGATTGCCTCCTACAATAGCTCAAATATAATTAATTTCTTTTCTTTTCTACCATGAAGCGGTTTGTGCCATGCACTCCTAACCGCAGGTTCAAGAAATCAGCAGCAGACAATTCAGTACTACATTGTCTTCGCTCTCACAGTGCTTTTTATCCATTGGTCTCACGTTTATCAATTAAAAAAGGATCTAATGTTATTGTAAATCCCAGAACCAAAAGAATTGAAATGCATAGATTATGGATGAATTGCTCGCTCATCAACTGGATACTTCTACTCTGTCCGATAGTTGAACCGAAGCATAGGAGTAGTTTAACATCGCTAACTGATAAACCTGGAGGTTTGGAATCATGGGGATGGTCCTCCTACCCTCTATATTTTAGTACCTTGTGGATCGGAGCGAAAAGGATTACTGTATTCGCCCATGTTGTGGGAGCATAATCATCAAATTCACACGCATGAAGAAAGCTCGATGGGCCTGAGGCCATATGTCCGAACGTTGTCCTCTGCGTGCGATTATTATCACGAGACAGTGGTGAGCCGAAAGACCAGAAAGCGCGCCAAACAGCGAAAGGGGAAGATTCGGCCAAAGCGACCGAAAGAATAGATATATATAGAGTCTGCGGAAGGCGTAGCGCCCGGCGATCGATCGACCGCCGGACCCGGTCAGCCGGGGCGCCGGTTGCAAGGAAAACCGTCGCTAACTGTACGGAGACCGGCGGAGGAGCGGGTCGAGGGCCGGGCACCGATCGAGTAGAAGCTTGGTCTTACAAAGGGCTGGGATAGGGATCGGGCGCGGTCGGGATCCAGTCTTTTCTGCATCGACGAGGGCCTTTTCAGACTTACCTGTATTTTGAATTTTTGTACACACAGTTCTGCATCTTGTTTCGGAACGGACGCCGAGGCTTTTTGCTTTAGACACATGTTCGCGTCGCGCGAGGCTTCGCAGCTTTGCCTGTTGTTGCGAGCAAGCTGTTGGGCTCGCGTGCAGAATCAGCGCAATGATTGATGGCCGGGCGCCGATGTTCCTTCCGTGCTCATGGTAGTTGGTGCTGCGTTGTGGCTCTTCGATTCGGAGCTTGATCGCTTGCTGTTGGAGGAGGAGGACGGGACCGCAATCTTGCTACGATGGGATTCTTAGATGCAGCGGACGCTGAGAACCAGGTGCCATTTGTTGTCGCACTCTCAAACTTGAGAGAGAGAGAGGGAGATAAAGAGATCAGTAGCATTGCTTTGTCAGTACGTGCGTAGGTCGCCAATTGGGACTGAATTGGATTGTCGCGGAAGTGAGGCTATCGGTGCTGGGCTAGCGAGGATGTTTAGTTGGGAGTTTGAATAATTTTGACCGTCTCGGCGTCGCTCTTATCTCCGTGTTTTGTCCTTGCGCAGCAGTCGACTGCATCGGGCAATCAGTATGTGTGAGTGCAGCACCGTCCGTTGGAGCAATGTGAAATAATTGTGTGTCGTTCTGATGAATGCAATGGAGAGGGAGTCTCTGAGCTAACAACTTTGGACGAGCTTATCAGAGGAATGACTCTTGAACTTGACAGTTTGAGCTTCAACTGCTCGAGAACTCAGTGGCATTTGTTTCCCCGTCAATTGGTCTATGTTTTCGCAAACGTGAGAGTGTCATCCGGCGTGAGTTCACTGTTGGCGTGGGAGACGCCCTTGTGGATGGTCGTGACTTTTTTAGCTGGGCATCTCCTCATCAGGCTGGAAAGAACATTATTTAATAGCGAGTGACTGTGGCATTTCTCTGTGGAATATTTTGCAGTGGCGATGTATTTGCGGACGTCAACAATCTGGATCACTGTATAAAGTATCTAAACCAGTCTCTCACGACGTTTGGTTTCCCGTCAACGCTCCACTTATATTCGAATGACCCCGTAATGCTACCTTCCTTCGACCGTAATTTTCGACTGCAAATGCCACTATCCTTCGTTCGAGTGACGTTCCGTAAACTGGTTGAAGCATAAGTAGTCCAACCTACCGATTGTCGTTAGAGCAACGTTCCGGATTTGCTTAACCTCATCGCACATGAGTTCAGAAAGACACAGGCCCACTGTATCTTTTGATCGAGTTGCAATCTGTTAGGAGTTATATTCATCATATCTTAATATGTATCTTTACTTGGTCAGCAAGCCATCAAATTAGATTGTCCGTCTTCATCCAGTTGTTGTTCCCTTGTATATAGACGTGAAAACTCTCATTTTTTCTCTTAGTATCTAGGCTGACCGTCAGGTGCAGCCGGCACTTTAATGTGAGGCGAACGACGCCAATCAATGTAGCTTTGATGGTCCTTATGTAGGCTAGATACGATTCGCGGCTTTACTGAGCTTATTCTCTTCCAGGCGTCAATCGTGCAAACCTGCAACTGCTTGTACGCGCTTCTTCAGCAGAGACAAAGAGATATCGAGTTTCGTGATGCAGCTAATGATCAAAAACAAAGGTTTGGATTCTGTTATACTTTCATGAAGATTGACCGAGGGATATGACGAGTGTATTATCCCGTCATCTTGTCAAAAGGAACTGTATTGCCCTGCTCTTGCATGAAACATACTATCACCTTCTTTGTCGAAACGATGAGACACCCGTGTTTCTTCCTTATCTCTTTAGAAATAAAAGGTACCACCTGTTTAAGTGTTTATCTAAGTGTTTCTAAGTACTTCTTTCTAAGTTTATTTCTCCTTGGGTCCTACGGCTTCGTCTTTGTTTCCCTTTAGTGGAAACCTTATCTCGTTAAGACTTCACATTAGTGTATGCTTTACACTCCAGGCTTATGTCCGACATGACGCGACTCGAAGCCAGGCTAGAGCGACAAGATGCACAACTGATCGCCAAAGAACGTGAATTAGCAGCTTTAACCAGCAAGGTGAAGTATCTTTTTTACAGATATTTCGGAGACGTAATTCTGCTTATGTGAAGCACTACATCATTGGAAACCTATTAACATTTAAGCGTGACTACTCGAAAAACACACCATTCACCAGGAACAAAAGGCGGCAGCTGCGCATAAAGTTCAACTCGAGAAGCTGCAGCAAGAGCGGGATGAATTCCAGCGAATGGTGGTGTCTACACAGGTCTCTTTCCTCTCCCTCTCTTTTATGTCTGTTACGGTTTATTTTTGAATCAATATCTGGTCAGTACCAGATATTGATTTCGCAAATTGTTTCCGCAATGCTCCACTATCTACACGTGTGTTCGTAACCTCAACGTTTTGAACATGTTGGTGTCTAGCCATATGGCGTCTAGCCCTTAAAGGATGGAGCTTGCCCAATCTCTTGACGTCTTCGTCAGTCAACGATGTATTCTGTCCGTTTTTCATCTCTGACTTGAACAGATGTATTAGTCCATCTCTGAGCAGAAGTTCATTTTGCAGCAAGTGCGCGTACAACAATCTCATGAGCTAAAAAAGAAAGAGAAAGAATACGCTAAACTTCAGGTACGGTAACCTGTTTGGGTTCCTTCCTTTGACAGTCATGTACGGAGATCTTTTGTAGCTTGTTGTTCATGAATTTAAAGTTTAATGGATTCTTACGATTCAGATGAGGAAGGTCTATGCCCATTAGATATTCATGAAAGGATCGATGTAGATATTCACACGCCTACACCCTATGTGCTGACTGAAACGGTCAAAAACTAGACGGGGAGAAAGGGAGGAATAGCAAATAATCCTTATCTGCCGCTTCACTCAACACTCATTGCAGGAAAAACTAAACCAAGTATTGGCCGAAAAGAAAAAGGAAACGAAACCAGCGTTGGAGATTTTGACCTTGTTGCAGGTGAGATGCCGGTTATCTTTCTTTTTCTGGACACACCAATCGCGAGCATATTAGCTCTAACTTATTACAATGTCTCGATTCCAAGATGGCATCGTGTAGAGCTGATCTTGTCACAGATCTTTAAAGTTGGTATTGGGTTTTTTTAACATCTGTGACTTTACCTAGATGTGTAGTCTTGGAAATATATAATACCGAGGGTTGGCTTGTTCAGGACAGAAATGTGCATGAATGTTGAAGCCCTAGAATCTTCTCCAGCTTGATTACAACTACGTTCTGCTGACTCTTGTTGCGCGTTTTTTTGTCAGAAAGAAGGTCGACAACGTGGAACATGGAACACCAAGAAAGCTGACGGTGATTTCTACAAGATGATTGTATGTTCTCTTTTTCTCGTTTGGCACCGTCAGTGTGTATATTCGTACGAGCGTGGACATCTATAATGACGTTGTGATGACACAGGTTGATGCATATGAAGCAAAGAAGCAGGAGCTCATGGCAGAGAACACAGATTTACGATCGCTTCTTCGTTCAATGCAGGTAAGCTATATTTGCAAAGTTGTTGAAAGGTTTTGATTAATGATTGGAAGCATGTTCTGTACCGAACTCAGCTCTCATCTAGTCCGTTTAGCAAGAGCTTCTTACTCAAGCTCCACTGAGATAACGAGCTTCGAGCAGTCTGTATTTCAATCAGTTATAATACTATGAAAGAAAGTTATGAGGTCGTCTTGATCCTTTTTTAATGTCCCATTGTTTGTCCTTGAAACAGTCTGATATGCGTGACTTTCTGAACACACACAACGGCGTGGGGAAGGCTACTTCTGTCAACGGAAGCTTTGACCTCGATCGACCATCAACACCACTTGCAGGGCGGACGGTATCTTTCTTCTGAAACCAGCAAATATGTTCCAAAATTTACTTGTATTGAGTTTGTCCATCGCTGCCATACTCCTGTTCAAAGCTGGGCATTGTTTCTTCCTGACATTTCGATGTCCTTAGTTTAAAGTCTGAGACACGATCTTCAAGATACTGTGATTCGTTTGCTGCAGGATGTTTTTGATCTGCCGTTCCACATGGCGCGAGACCAAATTGAACAGAGTTTGAGAACCAAAATGGCCTCCATCAAGGTAATAATATTTGCACAATGGTGCTGGGGGTGGCAGGTTCTGAATTTTCTGGTTCGGTAATCACGAAGGATGCATGTAGCTTGAATGCCTTTGCTTGAATCATCGTTTCATGTCGCAGTTTGTCACAATCATTGCAAGAGCTGCATAATGGCCCATGTACCGGACTCTAATTTTTCGTTGTGTACATCCAGGGTTCATCTGATATGTGATAGAAGATTCGTAGCATGATTTATGATGGAAATATCTGTCGATCAAATGGAATTATGTTTTTTGGTATATTTAACTTATACGTTAACTTGTCTGCCTGATGTAGGAGCGCATGATGCAGCTTCAAGAATCTCAACAAGCTCTTAGAAGTAACTCAGAGGCTAGTGATCGCGAGCTTGAGCTCGAGGCTCAGCTTGTTGAGGCTCGCAGCATTATCACAGAACAGGTTTCAACTTGTACCACCTTCACATTTGTTGTTACACCAGCAGAAACAATCAAAGAAAGGCCGCTGGCGATTCCAGATATGTCAACTGGTAGCTTTTGCATGCACCTTCTCTGTGTTGCTCGCTGTTTCACTCACAGAGGATACTTCCTGGGTGTCAGAAAGAGTCGATGAAACCAATACCTCGAGATGTGAAGGAAAACTAGTTTAATCATTCGAATTAGATTGATTAAACTAATTTCGATTCAAGTTAGATGCCCGTGAGCTAACACCGGTGCTACCAATTGTACAGGTATCGCTTATGAACAAGCAACTCACTGAGGATCCAAGGTGATGCATCATATCAAAGCTTGAGAGTTCACTGTAGTTGTTCCAAGTTTCTTCTGTCCAGAAACTCTATCCCAATAATGGAGATATTCTGGAGAACAGTACGTCGAAGTTTATGCTTTGCCCCGAGAGACCACCTAAATGCTTTCATTTTGTGGAGAGTGAGGCATGTGTTTTTATATCTGATCTATTTGATTTCTTATTATGGCAGAACATCTGCACCTGGTCACGTTATAGGGAAAGGTGCACCAGCCTTCTTTGGAGCTGATGAGGTACATTCTGGGTCACTTGTTGTTTGTATACTTAAATGCCGAGGAGAGCACGATAGAATGTACTAAATAGCGATGTTATGGTTGTTTTATCGCGTCATTTGTAAAATCAGATTCTTGAGCTTTCGACTTCCTGTGGAAGTTTTCATCTAAGTATTCCTACACATGCAGGGTAGAGTTGCTAGTTCGGATTGGAGTACACAGCTGGAGGCGGAGCGGTCTGCAATTAAGAAGATGACTGCGGATCTCGAAAGAGAGCGCCTTGAGGTGGAGGAAGCTAAAGAAAGGTTTCAGGTTGGATCTCTATTCTTGGATCGAGAGCCACTACATAGACACCTCATATGCTCAATGGAAACCTAAATCACCTAGCCTAACACTTTCAATGAATTGACATAGCATTGAAGTTGAATGAGACAATGAGATTTATGTATAACTAGGTCTAACTGCAGGGTTTTTGAGAATTGCGTGAGATGTTGCTTCTTTGTCGTAGATTAGAACGTTATTTACTCAACCTGAGAGTTGGTAGAGTTTGGTGTCGTTGCACCTAGTATGTGGGATGAATGCGTTCCTTTTGGCATGTTCAGAAACAAGTAATAGGTGCCTGCGAGGAACAACTGGAGAGACCTGTTGAACCGAGCATAGTGCGAATTCTTACCACATTCACTACTTTTGACACGTAAAGACAGTAGTGAATCCAAACAGGCTTTACGAGTCAGTGAATCCACCATTGCGAAAACGTTAAAGAACACAAGTTTCTCTGAGTTATCATTTCCCCAAGTATTTGCACCTTCGGCGTCCGAACAAACCCTTCCAAAATTGGTTGAAGGGCAAACTTTTGCATTTAATATGCTGTTGGAAGCCCAGATCCGAGCTCATTACTACTAGTGCATGTAGGGTGCACTCAGTAAGTGAACTGATGACCTGTCAGCGGTAATGGAGCTTAGGTCTGCTGTCGATAAAAGGAAAGTTGCTTGTTACCTCTGTGTGAGAGGGAAACATTAAGTTTCTGATATGTATTTCCCACTTATTGTTCCGAGAACAGGAAGAGCAGGCCTCGTGGGCCAGATCCGTTAATCTCTGGATTGGACGATTGGGTGGAGCAAAAGACTTGCCTGGAAAGGTAGTTGAGCTACCTGAGTTTGAACCAGTTTCTTTCAGTTATCACTTTCTGTGTAACCTCCACTGCAGAAAGTTCATGGCGATCATACTAGCATCTGCATGCACAACAGTGCATACGACTAGATATAATTGGTCTCAATTATCACGATGTATCTTGCATACACAACTGGGAGGAGCCACAGTGTTTCATCTTCATAAAGCAGATGGTTAGAGGGTATAGATGCAAATAGAACAAGCTTGGAAGAAATTATGGGCTGAAACATCGAGAGGTTTCTACAGACTGCACAGCAAGTCTAGACCTGATTCATCCACGTTTGAGTGTTCCTAAACATGTGAAGGATTGACGTAAAGGGATAAACATGTAGGAATCCATCTAGAACCTTTTTCTGACAACCTTTGTTTGGTTCTGATGCAGAATGATGAGTGGCCAGAAAACCAAATTGCCCAAACAGAAATAGCAAGTTTGGGTTATGAATTTTCAAAGAACCAAGCAGAAACCCAAGTATCTCCTGTAGATGCCCAAATGGATCGGCTGGGAACGCAGATAGTTCAGCCTAAAGCTCAAACATCCCGTAATGGATCGATAGAAGATGTGGCAGAGAAGAAGACAAGACACGTAGATGCCCAGTACGGTTTATCTCAAAGTCAAGCTTTTCAAGAAAAAAGAAGTTTTTCCTTTGCAGATCCTCGTCGTGTTCGCAGAACTAAGAGCCTAAGTGAGGTACCGAATTGGCACGAACACAGGAGGACTGATATCATAACTCCAACTGATGTTTCTGTTTTTCAAAAAGCTGATCTCAGTTCCCAGGCAATGGGGAAAGAAATCTCCTCAACAAGCAGGTCTAACAGTTCACGTCTGCATGGAAAGTTTGTAACTAGTCAGGAAACTGGTAGTGGTGGTAGATCATCACGTATCTATGACTATCAAAAGAATTCTGCGCTCGGTTATGGTCATTATCCTGAAACCGAAGCTAATCAAGGTGTCGGACGGGATCTTACCCGTACCAGTCACAGGAGGGCAGGCTCCAATGTGGATATCTTGACAGAACTGACTAAACATCAAAGTGACAGGTATTTGGACAGGACTGACATTTCGAAAGCATCGCCTCAGGAGATTAGGACTGAAAGTAAACGCTTACTTGCCGAAGAGCAAGCTGAGCAGTCGTTTAAGCGTGCAGAACTCGCGCGTTCTTGGTCATCTTCTAGGCGAAATTCAGAACCGAGAATACATCCTGATTTTCACTTCATACCAGATGATGCCTGGGTCGATGATTCCCAAAGCGTTCAGACAGCATCCGAACAGGATACACAGAGAAATTCGCTGAAAGGTGTTCACTCTCAAAGAAGTACCACTTCAACAAGGGTGGAGCCCAAGAAAGATGGCGAACCAGTTCGCATGTCGTCAAGACGTATGGATGTACCTTCCACGTCAAATGGCCAGAAGAACAAACAAAAAGATCAACAAGCGTCTTGTGGGTGTTTCCGTGTTTTCACTAGAAGTAGTTAGGAATACAGCAGGTGAAACTCATCCTGTTTGGTTCTTAAAATTTTCGCAGAAGACTGATAGTTGTGTAGAGTATAATATAAATAATAGGAGTTTGGTGGCCTGTGTAGAATATAATATATTATATGGAGCACGATAAGTCTTCTCGCTTGTTCAGGATTTGACATTGCAAGTCTTTAGGGCCTTTGATGTGGTTAAGTGTACAGTTAGATTATACCACAGGCCTCTCATATAGGAATCGACAAAAATGAAAAAGCCCAGCCTGAGTGTAGAGCTTTTATTTGAAGCCTTCGATTGCTCATATATAGTCGTGCAATTTTACACTCAACTTGTACCCTAAGTAAGAGGTCTGTCTCCAAGTGAAATGTGGAGAAGCATTTCAATTTATTCTCTGTATTACTATTCAGTTCCGGTTCTTTCCAGAGTTGAACAGGAGCTATTAATCATTCCCTAGTCGTGGTCCATTCGTAATTTTCTTTTTGTTTGTTGCTATCACTTTTGGTAATTGCGTCGTACATCAAGGAGTGTAGCCCACTTAAGATGGTAAGAGAACCTAAGAATTGTTTGGTTCTTACGATTTCATTTGTATCATTCGGTTGTTTTATAATTCTTGGGGGTTGTGAGCTATATTACAGCGTTCTTTGGATTTGAAGTCTTGAGCTTGAGCCTTTGAAACTCCATTTCAGCTAACTGGATGGATACTCGTAGATCACCCACCACAGTTCTAATTATCCCGAATTTTCTGACGTGTTGTCAGGATTCTCGAGCATTTTGTAAGTTTCTTTTTGCAATGCGTGTTTCCTCCTTGCGGTGCTCTGGTTTCCGTTCCACTTTGATCGTTTTCCAATATGTGGAGGACTAATACTCTTTGGTACATGTGTCAGGTGCTCAATTCAGAATTTTGATCTGTGCTCGCGGTAGCACAAGATGGGTTCTAATTGTGGATCTTTTTGAGCTTCTGTAACGAAGCTCATGGATGGTGAAACAAGGACCTTCTTCACGAGGACCTGCAATGTTATCTGTAGTTTTGTATCAATAAGCATACATCCAGCCTCGAGAAATACCGCGCAGAGAAAGGGGTTCACAGTTTTATTCGAAGTGTTTCCCATTTTGGAGTATTGATCCATCAGGAGTTGGTAGGTTGTCTGCTTCGGTCTCTTGTCCATGTGCTTTCAACGGGATGTTTTTGAGGTACGCCCGAGTTAAGATCGTGCTTGTGAAATTCAAGGACGACACCGTGCGCAATGTATAAAGTCTAGCAAGAAGTTCTGAAGCAGTTCGCTGAACGCCCTTGTTGGCTGGTGAAGGTTATTCCAACTACTCTCGAGCATCGTAGGCTGGTGATGCTACACAAACTGTAAGGGTCACAGGCAAGTCTGAACTTGGAGCCGTTCAGCAAGCTCTCTGGAAGCTTTAATCTCTTGGAACTGCTAGATTGTGAGCAAGTATCTTCCAGAGAGTAACTATCACCTGTGTCCTGTATTGTACGTAGAAACTTTTGGAAGCTAGTCATCTGGGTCATGTGCATCAGTTGTAAAGTTTAGGGAGCCTTGTTACCCGGTCGCTAGATCTAGTGTGATGTTTTCATACTTCTCTGCACGAATCATGACCAAGGGTGGTGGATTAGACTGTTGACTTTCACGTATGACTAAAACACTCCGAGCTTGTCATATGTGTCTGAGAACTGGGAGTTCAAGGATCAAAAGTCGCAGCAATTCACTTGGTTTTCCCGGCCTACCATAGAAGGTACCCTACCCTGACTTGATATCGGAACCATCCGGAGGTGTTTTCTCCAGTTCTCTCTGGTGTATTCCGTCTAGCCGAATTGTTGACAGGATGACAGTACGTTGTTTCAATTGTTTAAATACACATTACGCCTTCTCACTTTCAAGGCAACTGTTACTCACGAACTTGTGTGTTTTGAACTGTGTGCATTTTTCTCCGACTTCTTTTGCCTTACCAGCAAAACAGTTGCCAGCAACAGATTCCTTTTTAGGCAGGCGTCACAGTAACTCATTGAGCTTACACAAGATAAATATCTATAAACATAATTACAACGTACGGCGACAAAAGCAACACCAGAAGTACAAAACAGGGTAATATGCTTCAATTACTTTTGCAATGAATTCAAGCGAGAATACAGAGTAGCTCGTTCTGTTTCGACAATTTCTTTCTCGTTTTTTCTGGGTAATGTAATCACAAAATTACGATACCCACAATTTGAGTAGTAAGTAGCAGATTCTAAAAGACCTCAGCAAATTTTCTCCATCTCAGGAAGCTTTCAGTGAAATGAGGAATGCCCCGCAAGCTCACTCGGTGACCCATTCGGGTTCAATCCGATCTCCACGTAAATTAACCATCCCTTCGTCAGCCAAACGGCTGGCAAGCCCGAGATGTGGAATTCTAGTCCCTGGGGGCGAAAAGGTCCAGCCCCGGGATTTGCTGACATGCATGCGTAGCGGGTACCCCAGGTAGGCTCGGGCGAAGGGCTGGGAAATACCTGCCATCCATGGCGGACAATCCACCATCCTTTTGGTCCCTCACCCGAAAATGGTGGTCAATTGACTTTCTCGGCAAATCTTCTCATCCTCAGGAAGCCATTGTATTGAAAGGAAAACAGGTTGGATGTAGATCCTTTACCAAACTTCGGCTTGATGAGCTTACCTCAAAGCGAAGCAAACCGACGAATGAACTCAATCTTGCGCGGATACGCCAATTGGTATCAGTTTGCCGGAAACAAATGCAGGGCCATCGCCTATTTGGCTTACGTCTTGCGTTCCTCCTTGGCCAAAATGTACAATAATAACTCATGCAAGCGAAGTAGTTATACATAACAAGCAAACTGCTTCGTTCCAAAGTATTAAGTGTGATTTTTAAATCTGTCCGCTAGTGATTGTTGTGGATCCCAAAGCAATGTATGCGAAATCTGAAAATTTCTTTGATGCTACCTAACGCCAGAAATAACTTTTTCTTACTATTTTTGCATCATAACTCACATGTGTTTTGTAACCCACATGCCAACTTCTTTGATAAGGGTATCTGACAAGTATTCCCTGATTTATTTTTAGTAATATCTGCAGGAATCATGATGGGTAAGATTGAGACATAAAGAAAATCTTGGATATCATAAAAAATTTATTTCTAGAGTTGTTCAAATTGAAGATAATGACATATGTTATGTTTATTCTTGTTATATCATCTTAATTACTATGATATGTAAGAGTGCTATCCACATAGATAGTCAAATGTTATTGCCATAACCACATAAATAGTCAAATATTAGTGGCTTCCACCACATGGCAAAAGAGATCTGTATATGCGGTAACACGATCGCGACAAGGTGATAATATGACATTATAAACTTCAAGCGCGATGCATCGAGAAGTAGCTCAAGTCTAATAATACTTAGATTTTTTTTTTATATAGTGTGTTCAAAATGTGGCTAGAATGGCTAAATTAAAATGGAATATCGTGTAAAGACCAAAACTGATGATACTCCTTTGATCATTGTGACTCAAGAGTTTAATCCCGTGGAGCATAATTTGTTTCACTATGGACTATGATGCCACATATATGCCATATACAATGAATATTAGTGATGTATAGGTTTTAGATAGTTCTTATTACATGTGTTATATTAGAGAATTCTTCAATATTTTTCGACATGAAAAAACTCGATAGTTATGGAGCATGTAGTGTTGAAATCATTATATCTGTTAAAATTCAAATATTTGATAGAGTCAAACATATATTTATCTCAAGTCAGATGTATTTATGATTTGAAATTCTTTATATTTCTTGAAATATTACATTGAAAAGTCTTTGAAAAGACCTCTAGAAATAAAATGTTTGAAATGATTATAGATGATGAGATTATGTTAATAATATAAAAACATAACAATCTATATTAGCTAATGCACATTACAATATGTGATAAAATATTTAACAGCGTTATAATTAACGCTGTTAAATATTGAATTAACTTGATTCATCTATTACTTTTTACTCTATGATACATGAATAACACAGATGTGATATTTTTTGCCAATAGTAGCTTGTTGTGGCAATAAGTTTTGTGAACGTCATATCATGAACACGTTTAGAAACGTGTTTGGTGTTGAAATTCACATTTCAACACCAGAGATTTTTTGACATTCACATTTCAATAATTTTTTAATTTGCACATAATCACATCAAATAATCTTTTCCAAAATTTCATAATTCCGAAAATTATACTATTTATCATTTATTGATGATTATTCAAAATTTCTATAAATCTATTTTTGATAAAAAAAAATTTAGGCTGAATTTTGAAGTTGAGTAGGAAATTTAGACTCCAAAAGTCCAAGTTTAAACTCAAATTAGACACAAGGTGAGATGTGTAGACATAGAAGCATGATGTATACTTCTGAAGAGTCTAGAAGTTAGTCTAAAGAGAATTATATCACTTGTCATCTCATTACAATTTATAAGCTTCTTACAATTTAAACCAAAACAATGTTAGAAAAAGTGCATACTATGCTGAAACAATCTAATTTATCATATGAATTTTGAATTGAAACTATCAACATTAAAGTATACATGAAAGATTTTTTTTTCAATGCAAAATCATTTTTGATATTGTCTGAATTGAATCACAAACAGAGTATCGATTCAATTGTTTGATTGTACAATTTATCTTGTCATATTTGAGTAGAGTATGACCATCTTCTATCTACATTCAAAAAGTAGTATTTTTTTCTTGAATATGCAAGTGGTGTCAAGAATTATACACTCTTGGATCCAGCGATGTGTAAGGTTTCACATTCATAAAAATTTAAATTTGTCAAACATATCAATGAAAAACTGAATTATTGATGACGTTTTGATATATTGCAAATACTTATAATTTCATGAAAAAAGTCTAACATAATTTAGTGCAATGGGTTGATATAAAAATAAATTATGAGCTATATTGTCAAAATATATATGAGCTCAAAGATGCACAGATCATTTAACTTCTAGACATGGTGAGAAACACACATCATTCAAGATTAAAATTTTCTTTGTATTATAAAATCCAACACCAATTTTTTTTTTTATATTGTAAGTTTAAAATAGAATTTATGTGTAAATTTTTCTTTCTTGTAGTACAAAAGCTTTAAAAAATTTCTTATACCAAGTTCTTATATTAATATAAAATTTTCATATAAATTAATATAATATATATAAATATAAATATAAATTTCTTATATATAATATAAATTTTTTTCATTATTTGAACCATTTTAAATGTATTGATCAAATTATATGCATATAGATTCATGAGGTGAAATAAGTGGAGAAATGCAACAACAAAAATCAGAAAATTTTGAACATCTAGATGTGGTTTTTTATTACAAAAGCTCAAATTGTAGAAGAAACTATTATAGAACACGAATAAATTAATATTACTCTGGCTATGAGAAAAATAAATCATTTCCTTGGAATAGAAGATTTTATATTGAAACTTATCACAAACCTTTGGTCTTAAAAAATGAAAGCATCTTGACACATGTCCTGCATAAGTCACATCATTAAGTTGAAATTTATTTTGGATATATGGGATATCTTAATCAAAAGACCAATGATAATCAAAAGATTGCACCAAATGTTTTGTTTCTTGACTTTGTAGAAGTGAGAGACTTAAAAACCATCAAATGTACATTTGATCAAAACACAACTGAAAAAAGATATAACATTCAATTATCAGCTGGGAAAAGATGTTTTCAACAATCTTGCATATCAAGATTTAACATTTCGATCAACATGACATGTATGATCTTTTAACATACTTAAGCTAGCTATCAACAATTAGCAAGTTTAGTAATTCATTCACAAGCATCAAGTAGAAGGTTATAGCTAAGCTATAATAAACTATCATTTGACAATGCAAACGCTGTCATATAACTCACATTATATGTGAATAATAAATTGCATTTTTTTGATATGATACACATACCTATGCAATTTGGATAGTTGAAAAACAAAAATAGAGTTTATTAGTAATTATTTTATCTCTCTACATGATTTTAATTCCACGTTTTGGTTACAGTTCAGTTTTAATTAGCTATGGTTTCCAGAAAATTGTATGTTATATTTTTTGAAAACCTCTTTTTGGAATAATATATTGTGAGATGCCGTGTATTGCCGGCAATCGCAACAAGCTTCCCGTCAACATTCTAAACTTTGTTTGCAAGATGGCAAATTCTACTTTCATAATCTCCAATCCTCGCTTTTTCAGATTGGCTTATTCTTTGCTCTATTACCAATCTTGTTGAATATACAAAAAAATAGAGCATGCAAAGTCTCGCATTGTAGTGTTCGGAGGAGAGGAGGCTCGTTGTTATGATATAGGAGCGATGGAGGTAAGCTACCGCCATTTGATAGTTCTCACGACATTATGTACCTTTTCAGCACTCGCGAGACCTTTTCACGTAGATGCATGAATAAACAATTTGAGCATCCAAGTGCATTGGAATCATGATGCTTGTTGGATTTCTTGTGTGGAACGTTGTAACCGTTCTGGTGTGTCTACTGAGTCTCTCGTTGCGACCACTCAACGCAAATCTTACTGTGACAATTGCATGGATGATACTCGTAACCGAGATCTACAACCTTCGGGCTGACTCTCACTCAGGTTTACCTCTGATGGCTTTGCGGTAGCGCATCATGGTTCTAGAAGACTAGGATTCATCCTCACACTCATGTCCCAAACACCTTCTCTCACAAACTCTCCATGTATCGATCCAACCCACACACAAACTCTCATCACCTCACTTCCTTCACATAAACGCAAACACACGTTGATATTCCAAGATACTTAAAAACTTCACTCCTTCATTCCTGAAACAAGTCCTCACACATGACTCTCCAAACTTGCTTGAAAG